TATTAAGAACCAACGGATGAAAGTTTGAATGTCTATGGTATTAAGAACCAACGGATGAAAGTTTGAATTTCTATGGTATTAAGAACCAACGGATGAAAGTTTGAATTTCTATGATATTAAGAACCAACGGATGATAGCTTGAATTTCTTTGTTATTAGCATTTCCTTAACTCCACAATCACAAAATATGAAAAATAATATTTTACTCCTCACATTAAAAATTATATAACCATAAACAGTACCACTATACAATAGATACATTAAATTATAAAATGGATAATATTTGGAATTCTTAAGGCTGCCTTACAAAGTTCCTAGTCCTAACAAGTTGTAAAGATCTAACCCCACACACCTCCAGGTTTTTCACATGATAAATGAAGCAAGCAGAACAATGACACAATTTCAAAGTTTCCAAAACTTACCGGCACCTACTGATGCTCCTGCATACATAGGCGAACTGTTGACTCCAGGGTAAGGTGGTGGTAAGTCAGTCATGTAAACGCTGTTTGCTGTAAATATACAAAATGTAATTAATGGTTTTAGAATGAGGTCAGCCATAACTGTTAACTAGTGATTAACAAGACTTTCATAAATGATTAAGGTGAGATCAAGCAGATGTAATGAATTTATCTTACTATATAACTTAGCAAATTAAGTCCAAACAGAGACAAGCCAAATCAACACATAGTCTTGATGATTTCATCTTCATTGTTTAAAAATTAACCACATCAAAATACCAGTAATTCATAATAATCTTGAGAAAACAAGTTAATTAGCTACTTTGTTTTTAACATTTTCAACCATTCTTGAACAAAGCATAAGATACACACATCTCTATAACCTTTCTTGACCTCAATAATAACTTACAGGAATGTGCTTGAATTAATATAAAGATTATGATAGAAACTAGTACCAAGTTAGTAAGTTATGAAATTGTTTTTCTCTTAAATCCATCTCATGCTTAGATTTTATACAGATGTCAATGCTTAACTCTTTCAGCATGGGCTCTCGTAACCATTTTGTGAAGCTGAAGGTAATAAGAGTGTGCAGGAAGGTAACTTACCAGGTGAAGCTGAAGGTAATAAATGGGTGCATGAAGTAACTTACCTTGTGAAGCTGCAGGTAAGAAGTGGGTGCAGGAATTAACTTACCTGGTGAAGCTGAAGGTAATAAGAGGGTGCAGGAAGGTAACTTACCTTGTGAAGCTACAGGTAAGAAGTGGATAGATTCACCAGTTAAGTTTTTATATATCTACACTTATCTTTACTTAAACTCTAACATGTAGTATGTACTGTCCCATCTATCCACTTCTTACCTTCAGCTTCACAAGGTAAGTTAATTCACGCACCCACTTCTTACCTTCAACTTCACCAGGTAAGTTTTTATATATCTACACTTATCTTTACTTAAACTCTAACATGTAGTATGTACTGTCCCTAAAAGATAAAACAAATTGGTAGATGAAATAAACTATGTGATGAAACTGAAAGAAAGGTTGAAAAATTTACCTAGTAGAGTTAAAAAAAAGCCAGCATTAATGAAAAATCTTACCTGGTGGGGCTGTAGGAAAAATGTGTGTTGGAGGAACAAATCCATAATACACTCCAGGTGGGGGGGCGTAAGCTTGTGTGGCCGCTGGATAAAAAGGACCAGAAGGAGGTGTATATGGTGGAGGTGCTCCAGACATGTTCCTCGTGGCTATTAGAAATATAACTAATCTTACGATGGGTAAAACCAAGTTTTCTTACACATACGTATTTGTGTCATGTCAACAGTACTTAACTCCCTCATGTAGAGGGATCAATAATAATGTGCACAGCTTTACAGAACGTAGAACATGCATCATTGAAAACTGGTTTAATTCACCAAACTAAGTAACTTACAAGATCATATGTACGCACTAAATTCACTAACTCACAACAGAATAAATAAATTTTATATAACTATAATTTATTACAAGTTACAGCTTTTACAGTAAGTAAGATTTGTATTTAGAACAGATGCAATGTTTCGATCACTGGTGCGATCATTCTCAAGTACACAATAATTGCACCAGTGATCGAAACATTTTACCTGTTCTAAATACAAATCTTACTTACTTTGAAAGCTGTAACTTGTAATAAAATATACTCAATAAGTAAGTTAACTTTTCCTTTTTATTATCTATATTTTGTGCACCAGCAATACGAAGCGTGGGGTGCACCTATACCCGAATCAATTTTATTACTCATCAGAAGATGAGAAATTTAACTGTCTTTGAACATCAGTTATAAACTTTCTAGTTTCTTCAAAAGTTGCTTAATATTAAGTACATTGCTCACTAATAAAAGGAAAATTTGAATCCGTACCAATTTTGGCAGCTTCCAGCATTGCTTGGCCAAACTCAATAGCTCCTCCATTCATAAATTTCAGCTTAAATACTGCTTCACCAGTCCAGTTCCCTTATGAGTATCAACATAAAAAAAAAGACAGGCATCGAGTGAAAGAAACAAAGCAGAAACTAAGTATCAAACAACGGTAAAAAAAAAAAGTTGTAAAAACCATTTACTACATTTATTACTTTACGTATGGTTTTCCTTTTACTTGTACAGTAATCTTATACTTATTATATAGGAATTTCAAAAATATGCAGCATTAATGCTACTAATTTATTCTTATGAATTATTCAGCCAGATAAGCTGTTTAAAATATTAAATAATAAATGTTCAGGGTTACTGATGAATTCCCTGAAATACAGTTTGTAAATATATATCTAAAATTATTATATAAGTACCTTTTTATTTAAGATAAAACCGTTTCTTTTCTAAAGTATTAACAATAAACAGATAAACAAAACTTAAGATATTCAATATATTCACACATCAATTTGGATAAGTAATACAACAACTATATCCAAAACCCAATTTTATTACAACTGAGAAATGTCACCAAACAAAATTATGACTCAGGCTTAACAAGAACACTTGACTGAATTTGAAGCTTTACAATTTTTTTTTCAAATAAAGTGCAGTCCTAAAAATTAAGACAATGTTCACAAGAAAATCAACAAAACCAATATGTCACCATAAGTGTGTTAGTCAGGACAATACCATGGTAAACAGTAATGTCCATTCTGAAGAGCTTCTCTCACTTAAAGGTGCACTTAATACACGAGAAGGGAACAAGGCTAGCATCCTCACCGACATAAAACAATGACTAACTTTAGGTGTTTTATACTGATTAGATATTTTTGATGAAATCATAAAATTATAGATAAAAGTTAAAACTTTCTCATTCGCTCATATGATATTCAAATTTCAATGAAAAACCAGCAAAAGACTCCAGTCAACTTCGTTATCAAACATTGACGTTCTCTATCCTCCAAATAATGTAAAACACAACTCATTTCTGATTTCTCTGTATCTAAAATATGTCAAACTGTTGTAAATTAAAAGTAATTAACTTCAACATTTCTTTTGATACCAAAACAAAACTACACACGACTTGACAGGGTGCATGTTAGACCTGGTTTTGAATCACATATTAATAAATGATTTATTGATTAAAGTAATTCAGTGTAAAAGCTACTAAACAGGGACCTATCAATATTTTCTAAGGTCCGTTATTAAAATACACGTAATAACTTAAGAAGTAGAAACTACATTTTAATATTACAGATCTATACTTTTTTTGAGTATTTCCTCAAGCAATGTACACGTACTTAGCAAAATCAGATACCTAGCTTGTAGGATTGGCTGTTACAACAATCTATTAACTTTAACAGTAACTGACATCTTGAATTAGAAAAGGTGAGGTATTTGTATTACTAAATGTTCTGGCTATTTATCAGCAGTTTTATTTATCTATAAATATTTCAAGTTCTTATAAAACAAATTGGTAAATTAAAAGAAAAATATTTTACGAGTTCTTTTCTTATGATGGCTTTTGTTTTTTATCATCATGCTTGATGTTTAGCCATGACTCTGCTGCATGCTGTCACTAATTTCAAGCACTGAGCTTCAATGAAAATTATTGGACTATCAAGTTTGTTTAACATTTTTAAAAAAGGAAACATATCTAATGCACTTATTAATAAACAGAGCTGGTCTAACCTCCAATCTGAGCCTTTACTTTTCCTTTGATGTAATTAGCTCCAAATACAGGCTGCTGCTATTTATTAATATATCATTGTCTCAGACACCTATCTGGGTGCTATTTATTAATATATCATTGTTTGTATTAACCGTTGATCTCGTATTCAGAGATTTGTCTGCCCTAAGCTCCAAGTGGTCAACACTGAAGACTTATTTTACCAATAAATTAGTTAGTTTCTGTGTCAGACATATTCCTGAACATATACTAAAACTAAACAAAGCTAACTAACATTAGTGATAATCCTGTACTTGTCTTCCAATCCAACTCTATTTATAAATAAAACTAAACAGTAGAGCGATAACCATTGTGTAGTAACACCACTAAGCCTATACTGTACTGACTAAAATTACGTTTCCATTATTAATGAGGTTGTTCAGAACAATGAATGAATGGAGAACATAAACATGTATTACTTTTCATGTACGTTAAGAACAAATGGTACAGAACATGTTTCTAGTAGAGAACAAATGAATGTATATGTACACATATACATATATGTATATGAATATATATGTATATGATCTGCTGTCTTCTACAGAATTTCAGTAAACCTTAGTTCATTAAAGAAAATATGTAGTTAAATCATGCAAGAAACTCCATCATAAGAATGATATTTATTTGATCATGTTTCCTTTACAACTGACACTTATTCTGTGGTTCCTACTCAATTATTCTAACAAAATACCACTATTAGTCATGCAGAATGTTTGTAGAAATATACTATCGGTCATGAAAAACGTTTATAGTTTTTATTCATACAATTTGTCATCTAGAAGGTACATTAAAGTTTAAATACATATCCTATTTTTGGTGTACTGAGGCAGTAAATCAGTATTTTCATGTTTGATCTCTCTTCTCCTCCTCATCTTCCTTTTTTTTGTTTTCCAGACCAGGGTAGAAATTTAATGTTTGTTTTCTGTTTTGAACTGTAAAACTGAGGTTCTGTTTATATGATTTCTGGTTTCTCTATTAAGTTTGAGTGTGATATTTCAGATGATATTTACAAATAAAGACTCCAGAGATTTCCTGCAGTCCTTCAGTTTTCCCTTCTTCACTATAACCTCAGTGGAGCTGGACCCAGATAGGTGTCTGAGACAATGATATATTAATAAATAGCACCCAGATAGGTGTCTGAGACAATGATATATTAATAAATAGCACCCAGATAGGTGTCTGAGACAATGATATATTAATAAATAGCACCCAGATAGGTGTCTGACACAATGATATATTAATAAATAGCACCCAGATAGGTGTAGCAGCAACAGAGATTGTCCACTGGGAAGCAGACTTTGTCTGTCCAGCAGAATCACAGGGAAACTGAAGTCTAAACATCGAGCTGGTAAATGATGAACGCATAAACAACACGAGCACTAGAATATGCCAGTCTCACGTTATGGGTCTAAAAAATTTCACATTTAGAGCTCACTAAAGAATCAACTTACCAGCTTAAAGTATTGTATCAAAAGAATGAGTTGACGTCATAATACTTCAAAATGGCTGAGAAAGCCACTAAGGGGACATTCTGAGCTTTCTATTGGATATTCACATGTCATAGACAGAAGTAAGTGTGTAAAAGGAAGCATTTCCAAAAATGGAAAGAGGTGGGCTGGCAACTGGTTGATTCAGTAAATGTAGCAATATCTTAGCAAATAGAAAAGATATGATGAGGTTCATATTTTATATTCCAGCTTGTCGGTACTTTGAGTTCTTAATTTGTAAGAAACTATAGACTTTGTATTTGGACATCACAAACATAATTTGAACCAGTGCTGCATTCAACATACTATGTGACACACAAAAATTTATGTTCAGGTGTGTTTTTTTATTATTATTTACTTTTAAATAAAGAAATGAACTAATGTATAATACTAAAATTTGATACCAAACTTATTAACATAAATTCATAAAATAGTAGTCCAATAAATTTTTTAAGGCGAGTCAACAAATGCAATGACATGACCTTTGACCCATGAGGAGAGGTTAATGGGTTTCTTTTGTGATGCTAACTTTCTTCATTTATCTTGGGTGCTTTTGAATATCACGAATCAATCAATCATAATAATATTCTAATTAATACATCAATCAGCAATAATTATGCTTCAGAATGTTCTCAAACCAGAAGTAACAAATAAAATTTTGTCTCACAACTTACACTGTAATAAAACCTACATTCAGTAAAAGAAAGAAACAAAATATGCACAAGAATTTCTTTTTATAACAGTATTACTGCTTACAATCACGATGCATCACATTCAATGTATTTGCTATGACTAAACCATGGTAAATATTTATTAAAAAAATATAAGAACAAGAAAAACGGTTATTGCTCACACCAAAGGATTAAGCCAAAATTATCCAATGAAATGTTTAGTTATGGCAGTTCAGTAATTCTAAAAAGTATTTCACAAAATATGGTATCTGTCAAATATCCAGCCATTAATTAACAATATTTAACCAGTAAATCTGGCAGGACTTCTCCACTATCAATAGTTTTGAAAAAGTAAATATTGTACTAACTAGAATGCAAAATTCCTTAAGTATCCAGCCAGTTGAAACACAAATTCAATTTTACACAATTCCCTTCCCTGAATCTGGAAGTTAGGAACTAAAACATACTAATGATCTAGCTGCTTATAGAGTCCAGTTTTAATTTGGATTAATTTTTTGTCATGTAACTAGAATGTTAAGCCTTACCCGATGCGTGGTGAGATAAATTCTTCCTTTTTTGTTTCCGTGAAATTGCTTGGCATCAGATCCTTCAAACTGTAGTTCCACTCCATCACAGTAAATCAATATGCTAGAATAAGAATATTTTTGTTTAAAAAAATGCAATTATGACATTTTTTTTTCTTGAACAAGGCTGAGAAATAAACATTCTCAAGAAAGAAAAAAAGGTTTTACCAAGAAAGCTTACAACTGGTAGGAAAGGAATAACTGATGATAATAATACTTAATGGATATTAATAAGTTCCTGAAAAAAAAAAAGGGTGGATTTAAGTTTTTACTTTTTCTAAAAGGTTCATGCACAGTTACAATCTTAAAGAGATTCAAACATTGTTTTATAATTGGACAGAAAGCCACCATGTGGGTGGGGTTACGTTTACTGTTAACCAGTAATAAAGATAAGATTGCAAGAGTTCAAGTAAAGCAGAATTTGGGGAAGAATGATAAATTCCCAAAAAGGGGGCCATAGACTGCCTGGAGGGGTCACCTATTATAACCACTACACAGTAGACACTAAAATGATGTCACATAAAGGACATTTGATGTGTCAATTTGTATTGTCTTGATGTCAGTAAAACGTATACATGCCATGAATCATGAGAAGAATTACGCATTCTGTTGATTACAAGCAAGAAATAAAAATATTTGTTACTCTTAATTTTAGTTTTATTTACTCTTGAAGCTGAACACTTATGAGGACCCTGCAGAAATACATCTAGTTGCATAATTAGATGTTATAGAACACATTTGAGAAATATTTACAAATAACTTGTTTTTAATTGTCCCTCAAATGGTTAATGCAACAGACATGTTCCTAAAATGAGGAAAAAGCATAACATGGAAGATTAAACCTACCTGGCTTACCAAAGATATGTGAAATTAAAGAATAAATATCATAAAATATAGAAATTTAAATTGATAAATATGATAAAAGGTTTACAGAACTATAGGAAAGCTAGAGATATAGTTTAAAAAGAAATCTAAAAGACCTTGTGATAAACAGCTAGCTGATTATCTTAGAATTAACAGCAAGGAATGTTTTTAAATATGTTAAAGGTAAACAATATGTTAGAATCAGGACTAGACACTTAACAGATTGTAATGACTACAGCTGATGTATGTTAAAGGTAAACAAGAGGTTAGAATCAGGACTGGACATTTAACAGATGGATGGCAACAGCTGATGTATGTTAAAGGTAAACAAGATATTAGACTCAGGACTGGACATTTAACAGATGGTAATGACTACAGCTGATGTATGTTAAAGGTAAACAAGATATTAGAATCAGGACTGGACACTTAACAGATGGTAATGACTACAGCTGATGTATGTCAAAGGTAAACAAGATGTTATAATGGGGACTGGACATTTAACAGATGGATGACAACAGCTGGTGTATGTTAAAGGTAAACAAGATATTAGAATCAGGACTGGACACTTAACAGATGGTAATGACTACAGCTGATGTATGTCAAAGGTAAACAAGATGTTATAATGGGGACTGGACACTTAACAGATGGTAATGACTAATCAAAATTAGTGTTTCCAATTAATAATGTTTTCAATCACTAACTGTCCAAGTAATTGTAATATTCTCATTATTATTATCAACTAATTCAAGGCTGTTCAGCTTAATCAGTTTGTGTCAAGACTCAGGAAAATAACCACTAATTTAAATTAGTGTTTTAAATTATTACAATTTTCATCATTCCAACTATCCAAATCTCATGAGAATAATTAAATTTATTAAATGTACTTGATTAAAGAGCCCAACAATTAATCAACAAGCTTCATTAAACACCTAGCTCTAAGGAAGACAAGGTTATTGTTTAAGTAACGGAGCTTTAAAATGTTCTCTTCTGTTTTTATGAGAGAAGAAATTAGCAATATTCATGACTATAAGTATTCTGTGGTCCAAGATCCATTTCCTCAGTCATGCTATTGAGTTCCAATATATTCTTAAAACAGGATATTCAAATTAGGCATTACCTTGCATTTATTATAATTATTGGTAATTGGACAAATATTTGTCCTACTGACCAACAAATTCATGTTATTCTGTAATATCTAATCATCCTCAACACAGCCAGATATACTCAAAAACTGATTGTCATCAGTAAACATTATTAGTTTACTAATTATGCCCCGTCAATATCATTAATGTAAATATGAAAAAGCATTGACCCTGAGGCACTCTATCAGTAACAAAAATCCAGTTTGACTGAACTTCAGTAATAACAACTTGTTTTCTCTTATTCTAGTATCCTACAATCTAACTTGATTGTTTTCCCTGATAAGTGATTTCTTTTGTTAATTTTTTGAATAACATCTTATCAAAAGCTTTTTGATAATTTAAATACACCAAGTATACACCTTTTTTTATCATCCAGATAACATGCAAGTGTCCTCAAAAAATTAATATATTGACAAGTTAAGATTTCCCTGTAATGAACCCATGTATTTTTGTCACTATATTTTACTAGATAATTATGCAGAGATTTTTTATCAAACTCTCTAGAATTTCCTCACTACAGGAATAAGTCTAACTGAATGCCCATCATCAATAGCACTAGCTGAAACTTTCAATTGTTTAAGGCAAAATCAATAATTTCCTGAAAAATAAAGGATAATTTTTAAGTTTTTGCTTTTTCTCAAAGATGGATGTGCAAGTACAACTTTGAAAATTCAAGGACTATTTGGTTATAACTGATGAATTTGTAACTTCTAAGACAACTGGGCATAAATGTTATGCTAATCTAATGTTGCCAAAGAAAAACTACTGGTAAAGAGTTCATAACACAATAAACCTATATTTGTAGTTAACTATACTACTAAAGTAATTTATTCAAATACAGTAAACCAGAAATTAGTTTGCTACTTTACCATTCACCATTAAAGATCAACACTCCACCGTTGGCATGCGCTGTATTCAACGACATTTTCTACTTTACAGTTGCTCTAAGTTTTGTCTAGCTTGTAAATTATAAAAACGGTTCACCACGATAAATGTGTGTGGTCGTGTACTACGGTATGAAGTAGCAGTATTATTAGTATTAGTAATACCACTAAACAGTAAACTCTAATTCTTAAACTAAACGTCTAAACTACATATAATACTAGACTTTTAGAATAGCTATCAAAAATAATCAAGCAATTTTGAAACTTAAGTGCTCGTGGGGTTAACTGTGTGTTTTTTACTAGCACAGTATCACTAGCAGTGTAACACAATAACCAAAATTTAGTAACTATATAAGTTAACTTTTACAACGCAAACGCCGAACCGTTACAATTTACAAATATTGAGTAACTGATTTAGCGATGATGCAGTCACACCGGATGATGTAATTCTTTACCTGATGATACGAGCGCCATCGTTATTTGTTTACTATTTTCGAAGTTTTTTACTAAATTCATCTAAGAAGTTTTTTAAAGGACATACATTTGGTTTAGTAGGGAAATTGCCCGTTAAGAATGTTTTGGGATGTTGAATATTTCCGGTGATTTTTCGTTGTCTTGCGATGAATTAGACGAGGAATTTTATCAATAAGGTTTTACTTATTTTTCTTCTGTTAATGTCAGATTCATGTTTTAGTAACCAAATCTTTTGCACATATTTCACATACTCATATTTATTCACTTTTTGTTATTTTTTTTTATATTCAGCTACAAATAAATAATCGGTCAATTCACGCGAAATGATATAACATAACATAATGTTTAGGGACAACAAGGGACCTATTGATCTACCTTGGCTGTCCAGTCCTCTAAAGTAAACTAAACCTATCCCATAAATAAATTCAAAAAGAAATAAAGTAAATCAAAAAATCTTAAAGCCAGCCCTCGTCGTTCATATAGTTATACATTTTTTTCTTAAACTCACTTAAATTCGAAGACAAATATAGTTAAAACCCGAAAATGTCAAAATTATATAATAGGTTGAAACGCCAAGTTTTTATATAATTTTATTTAAAGAAGGGTGACGTTTCGTAAACGGTACAATCTGACGAAGAGCGCTAGCTCGAAACGTCATCCTTTTTTAAATAAAAATATACATAAACTTGGCGGTTGTTCAACCTATTATTTAATTTCCACAAAATCCGAAGGCAACCCATTCCAGAGGTCAACCACTCTGTCAGAAAAATAAAACTGTCTTAGCTATTGATGACTCTTACCTGCCAAAATTTATATTTATGTCCTCTAGTCATACTATTCTCACTATTAAGTATAAAAAAAAGATTATGCATCAACACTATTAATTCCCTTCTCAATCTTAAACACCTCAATCAGATCCTCTCTAACTCTTCTTTTTTCAACAGAAAACAAATTAAGAGATCTTAACCTCTCCTCATATGATAACCCCTCCATCCAAGCACCATTCCAGTAACCCTCCCCTGAACCCTTTTTAACAATTCGGTTTCCTTCCTAAAGTAAGAAGCCCAAAACTAAACACAATACTCCGAATGTGGCCTAACCAATGACCCAAACAATGAAAGTATAACCTCTTTAAACTTGTTTTCAGTATTTATGTAGATACAATCTAAGATCCTATTTGCCGTACCATGAGCATCAGCACACTGCTTGGATGGCTTAAGAGACTGATTAACCATTACACCAAGGTCTATTTCTTTCATGACACTGTTAAGGTTATTCCGATCCATATCATACTGTTACGCCTACGTTCGTTGGTTAATTTTCCGTAAAAATTCTTTCCGAAGAAACTTTAGCGACACAAGTCCTTTCTTAAAACTGGTTTATTCTTTCTGAATACAACTTTGCAATACAC